GACTCTCGAAAATAGCATGTAGACGCGGCTCAGAAGGGAAATCGGTCTGTAGTTCTTCAAGAGAGCGTTGTCGCCTCTTCCTCCGTTCACCATGGAGGACGGAATTGAAGAGCTTCCGAAGGACTTCAAGTACCGGTTTTCCACCCGCTTTCAGAAGCTCCGCTGTAATTCCATCCTCGCCCGGGGCCTTGCCGTTTTTAAGGTGGTGGAGAGCCATTCTAATCTCGCTCAGACTGACGTCCGGGATATCATCGGAATAGTGTCGGACAAGATCCTATAATCAATAAAATTAAATTCGAACCTACATAAACATAAACACTCACGCCTGTCACCCAGAGGGGTAGGCAGAGACTACAGACTGCCATTTAGCACGATCCTGACATACCTCTCTCGCCTCTTCCACATCCACACACCTACGTATACATGCTCGTCGGTTAAGGGTACTCTTAATTTGGCCTATTTTTAATATATCGCCAATTTGGTCGACAAACTTTCGCCTAGGACGTCCCTTTCCGACTTTTCCATTCACTTCTGCAACATATATTTGCTTTGTTAGTCTTTCCTCGTTCATTCTTTCTACACGACCAAACCACCGAAGCATCCCTCTCTTAATCCTGGTCACCGCATCCTCTTGCAAACCACACTCTTCTTTTATCACACAGTTTCTCACCCTGTTACTCAGATTCAGCCCTAACATTCTCCTTAGCGACCGCATTTCTACTGCATTTATTCTACTCTCGTGCTTCTTCTGCCACACCCAACTTTCACTAAATACGTTTAAGTAGGGACTAGTACAGCATTGTGAATTGCCATATGTGTCTTTTTCGACAAATTTTGACTCTTCACAATAGTAAAATAACAATAGAGTTTAGAGCCCCATTTACTCTATTTCCTGCATTCACTCGTCCTTCTATATCCTTATCATATCTCCCATCCCTGCCGAATACACATCCCAAATATACAAATTCATCTACTTGCTCGACCATCTCCCCTTCTATTCTTATTTCACATAACGTTTTACTTTCTTCTCTTTCAAAAACCATAACTTTCGTCTTACTTGCATTCACTTTCATTCCCCTTTCTTTTAATGACCTGTTCATTAATTTAACCATCATTTGCAACTCGGCTGCCGACGACGCAAGTATGAGTTATGTTTATATATGTAAATTCGAACCCAATCATACCACTGCAAAACTTACATACTGTAGTATGTGACCAAAATTTTATAAAGCTGACGGTAGCCGGGCTAACTATGACATCGGGATGTCAAACATCTCAATCCCTGCCGTGGTAAAAATTTTGAATCATTTGGCAGGAAGAGAGTGAGGGAGATTGGGAGAAGGGAGACGAGTGACCTCTACACTTCGACACCATTTGCGTGAAAAGTTAATAAGAAATGAGAAAATTATAAAAAAATCCCACAATCCTCAAAATGATAGATAACATTTGTTTCTCCGGCAGAAGGGGCAGGGATGTACCCCTATCATAACTGTAAAGCGCCGGGAGCTGTGCTACACGTTGCTCCCGCCACATCATTTCTTTGTTGTTTGTAAACATAATTTATTAAGAAATTATAGACCGCAGAAGAAATAAAAATACCATAGAAGTACAATAATGTGACACTAGTCTTTGACATGGTCTGACGTTCTAGTCGTACTTACATAAAATGACGTATGCTACCAAGCTTTCACAATAATATTGCACTTGTTTTTCCATATTTTACTAATTCTGGTCTGGAAATTTCTTAAATCCTTAGGAGTTAGGAAATTATGACAAAATCTCACACACCATAACCTTCATCTCAATCAACTTAATTTGCATTTCTCATCTTCTTCTTGCATTAACGATAAAGCAAAACATAATACTTTAGATTCTCTTTCAAAAGCTCCCACTCCGGACACCCCTGCTTTTAATTTTAGCCAATTTAACAGTTGTGATGTTAAGAGAGCCATAATGTCCATCCATTCAAATTCGATTGGTAGTGACTGCATTAGTCGGAAAATGGTCATCCCTCTCATTGATCTCCTTTTACCTATAATCACGTCTATCCTGAATAAATCACTGAATTCTGCTTTTTTTCCCTTCAGCTTGGAAAGACGCATTTGTAGTTCCTCTTCCGAAAAAGTCAAATCCCTCTAGTTTTTCCGATTATAGACCTATCTCTATTTTGCCTTTCTTTTCCAAAGTTCTAGAACGTCTTGTGCAAAATCAATTAAGCACCTATCTTTTAAAACACAATCTTTTAAATCCCTTGCAATCCGGTTTCCGTCCTGGCCATAGTACGACTACTGCACTTTTACAAATCACTGATGATATTCGGTATGGTATGGAGAAACAAAAGCTTACTATTCTCATGTTGCTTGATTTTAGTAACGCATTTAATACTGTAGATTTTGATATCTTGTTAAGCATCCTACGCTCTCTCAACATATCTCCAACTGTAGTTGACTGGTTTCGAAGTTACTTGTTTGGTCGCCGACAGCGAATTCAGGTGCAAGAGGTTTTTTCCACCTGGATTACTACAGCTGCTGGTGTACCACAAGGTGGCGTGTTGTCTCCTCTCCTTTTTGCAATTTTCATTAACTCTATAAGTCATAATTTGTCCTCTTCCTACCACTTGTATGCTGATGATCTCCAAATCTATACTCAGTCCTCTCTTGAAGATCTATCTAAAGCAGTTGACACACACACACACATTATAAATCGTATTATTTAGAACGCTATTAGATAAATTACTTTACCTTTCTCTTACTCTTTTCATTTAATCTATTATATGATATTTTATATATAACTTTCACTTACTTTTATTTGTATGTATTGTTGTATTTTTTTATTATTTTGTATGCCCCCCTCTATTTGTAACTTTTGTTTGCATCATTACTCTACGCAAAGGTTGTCTGGAAGAAATCACTTTCAGTGATAAGACCGCCTATTGTACATACTTTAATTAGTTGTAACTATATGTTTCTGTATTGTAGTGTACAAAAAAGGATAAATAAATAAATAAATAAATAATTTATAGGATAAAACAGTTTTTTTTTTCGAAAACAGAGCATTACCTTTTAATACGAGTAGTATTGTTATAGTCGGGGACCAAACCTCTACCAAATATAACACCTTTCTCACCGCAAACTCCTGCCAAGTGATTCTAAATCCAACCCACAACCACTGGTGCTGCTATAAAGCACCCGAAGCGTCGGAAATTAAAAAGTTAAAATTAGTGGCATTACTCCGAAAGCGTGGAGCAGAAGTGCGATGGTCTTATTCTTCAAGAACGGCAATAACGCTCTCTTAAAGAACTACAGAACGATTTCCCTTCTGAGCCGTGTCTACATGCTGTTCCCAAGAGTCATTACGAATCGTCTTACAAGCAGACTCGACGTCTTTCATGCTCCCGAACAAGCCTCTTTGCCAAATTGTACAGAAGACCGAGGAGTACAATCTACTACTTTGCCTTGCGTAAGAAAGTCTTTGATTCCGTTAGGTGTTAAGGCGGTGCTGCAGTCCCTTCAGCGGTGCCAAATTGACTGTCTATATATCGAAGTGCTACGATTTCTAACTGCAGAGAGGTGTAATACAAAGATAAACTCTAAACGGCTGCATTGAAATACTTTTTCAAGCTACTGGACTGGAAATGATACGATATTAACGTCAATGGCGAGTACATCACTGGTCTTAGATTTGCCGATGATATAGCCCTGCCGTAGAAACTATATGACTACGATGGCTATCCGAAAACAGAACCAGAGCACCAAGCCTATCCAACTGCGGAGAGGTGTAAGACAGGGTGACATTATATCCCCAAAACTCTTCAACGTTACATTGGAAGACATTTTCAAGCTACTGGACTGGAAAGGATACGGTATTAACATCAATGCCAATTACATCACTCATCTTCGATTTGCCGACGATATAGCCCTTACGACAGAATTGCTGGAGGATCTAAGCACTATGCTCAATGACCTTAATAGTGCCTCATAACGGATAGGTCTTAAGATGAACATAGTCAAAACAAAGGTCATGTGAAATGTCCATCTCACACCTATGCCGTTAGTTGTTGGAAGCACTACCTGGGACAACTAGTCCGACTAGGTAAGTCCAACTTCGACCGAGATGTCAATCGACGGATTCACCTCGGCTGGGAAGCGTTCGTAAGATTACGACACATCTTCTTGTAAGATATAGCTTAAAACCTGAAGATAAGATTGTAAAACCAGAACGTGTTACCATTGTTGAATTATGAGTTTGAGACGATGAGGAAGCTAAAGGTCACCCAGCAAGCTATTGAGAGAGCTATGCTCATAAATTTAAAAATTCGTAATTCGCAGTAGAACCAGAGTGATCGACATAGCCCAACGGATTAGTAAGCTGAAGTGGTAATGGGCCGGCCATATAGCTCGAAGAACTGACGATCGATGGGGAAGAAATGTTCTGAAGTGGCTGCCTTTTGCCGGTAGGTGAAGTGTAGGGCGGCCCCCCACTAGATGGAGTGACGATCTGGTAAGACATGTGGGAAGTCGATGGATGCAGGTGCCTCTAGACCGTGCTTTGTAGCATTCCTTGGAGGTGGCCTATGTTCATGAGTGAACTTGTGAAGGAATGTAATGATGATGATGATGATATTCGCGTAAAAAGAAGAAATCACTACAAGTAATTACTTACAAATCAGGTGACTTATTAGCTAGTTTTACATTTATATTACCCACGCTTTCTTTAGTATGCTCACATCACGAAAGATTGACTCGATCCAGAAGACTTAATGCTGCTGCGTTTTGTAATGTGACTAATTTCGGGTTACTCTTTTCCTGGTGACGAAGGATTGCAGTTCTCAACATCTGCATTTTGATACTTTATTGAGGATAGATCTAGATGACTACATTATCTACTTACCATATAGATAATGTAGTCATCTAGATCTATCCTCAATAAAGTATCAAAATGCAGAAGTTGTGAACTGTGTGCTCATTTGTCACTATTTTCCTATAATAAGATGTCTATACCTCGACAATGCAACTCAGGGCAGCATACACCTTTGCGATGCAAGGTGTGGCACTGCGGGGGCGGCGGTTCTGGCAGGGGTGCGCATGCGCGGCGGCGGCAGGATATCGCGCCACGAACGCACTGGCACCGGAGACACACCTCACGTGTGGTCACCACAGCGCCATCAGCGTACCACCGCCCTTCGTACTGGCAATGAGACGACAGCGATGCTCCTTCTGAAACGTGGTATTCACTTTCTTAGCTATTGCTGTCGCCAAGCTTCGGTTATATTCGCCATTAGGTTGGTCAGTTAGTTTCGGTATTTAGCGGTGTAAACGGTTATAATCAATGTTCTTGATTCCTGCGATACAAGCCTTGTGCAAAAATCAACGTATTGATTTATAATATAATATCTTTTAGGTTAAGTAAATATATTTTCCCCTCAACGATGAGGTCTGTGCCTATGTGTGTGCGTTAATGTTACATTCTAGCCTAAGTGCAAGAACAGACAATCTAAATACAGAATGTGGTGCAATTCATAGTAGACTTAAGAGGTGACAATGCATACATAGATTTTTTGAATAGATTAAGGGTGGCAATCACGCAATCCACTTAAATGTAACACTAACTAATAGAAATTTACATTTATTTCTCATTATAATTTAAAATGCAGCTGTCACCCTTGAGCACTAAGATGGAATGTTCCGTATCGAGTAAAAAGGGATCCCCGGTTCTCTACAAAACAAAACACACAGCACCATTAAGTTGCTATTTTACGCTTATTTATATTCTGTGAGAGCGTTATCTTTTCTTGGACGAACAGATCCATTCATGCTAAAACCATAATAAAGCTGCAGCAAACTCTACACATGTCCTCGCCTTGTAGATACCCTCACGTTACTTAAGTACCTTATGCATGTGAGATAAGGTCAGAGTACATATAACCAGCTCTATACTACCGACAGTAACCATCACTCCATATTTAACTTGAAACTTTCTGTACTTTACATTATTTTATATAAAAGAAACAGCCATGAACGCACAGCTGTTGGCAAAATTAAATAAGAGGGTAGCACCAATCCTAGCAGATTCTTAGGATAAGGAGTCCTAGCACCTACTAATCTCGTTAAGCACACTTAAACAATAATAAACTACAGACAAAAATTCTTACCTAAAGCTTTGCTGCGGTAGCGATAGGCATCGCCCTGATTAGTTTCTGTAAACAAAATAATGCTTTATTGATGGTGAGAATTAATAAAAGTTGACAAACGGATAACTCTATTCTTTTTTTTTATACTGAATGATCTTTTTTACCGTCTGGAAAAAATAGGGTGTAACAGATGAACGGAATAGAACTCTATGGCACTGATATTTTACTTTTTTTTCTTTTACATTAATATATTATGAAACTTGTCTATCAATAAATACTACTAATTTGAAATAAACTTACGGTAATAAAATAAATAAACAAAAAGTTTGAACTAAATAAATAAATCAATTACAAACTATCGAAATTAAAATAATACGCAACCAATTAGTAAAAGAAAAAATATTGTAATATATCAATGCCATAGGCTTCTATTCCGTTCACCTGATACACTCTATCTTTTTACAGACGGTAATTCATAATTATTTATTTGCATAGAATGTAGGTAGATATTACAAGAGTATTATTAAAACATAAAAGTTCCTGTACATTCTGCCTGATTGAGGCGTGCAAATTTTGACCAGATATAACAATTTTATTTTTCAATTATTGATGAATTTAACTTATTAATGTATAATAAAAATGGTCAATTGATAATAAAATAAATGTCAAAAGATTAATTATACTAAAAGTTATGTCACTCAATATTTTCAATGTCAAAATATAAATGTTCATATGTAAAAACAGTAAAAAAAACTGACTAATAATTATTCTATAACATATGTGTAAAAAAGATCATCGAGTATACTTTACAAATAAAAGTACATACCAAATAATTTCACATAACTTTCTATATGAGTTAAACATACGCCATTGCTAAGATAGTGGCTCTATTATTTATTCGGAAGGGAGTGATGACTAAGATTAAAAGAAACACTTTAAATGTACAACGGTTTGTATTCCATTAAAACACGCAATTATAGATAATCAACCATTAACCAAAAACATGAATTTAAAAAGAGGCAGCATGTTGACACACTATATTTCGAGAAGTGTGAGCAGGCAGTGACAAGTGATAAGTGTGATAAAATGCGCACTAAGCACTTGTCACTTGTCAGTTGCACTTGCCACTCGCACTTGTCACTTCTGAAAACGTAAATTGAGTCCTATACCGTCAGGATAGGGTAACAGGGGCTCTAGAAATGGGACTTCCACAAGGCTTCACAATTTGTGGAGGCCTCTTTCTTACACAAACGATATTCAAAAAATTTTATATAAGAAGCTATTCCACTACAAATTACCCGAAAATCAAAATTTCATTGCTACAAATTCTAATAAAGCTTGCAAATTTCCATGTGCCTAACATTTATATATTTTATTCTTTTATCGGCTGTTCCAAAAATTTTTCTAGTACTTCACTTATTGGTTGCCCCAGGGCCCACACCTTTAAATTCGGCCCTGAATAATAGCTATTTATTCTATCTACATACTAGTTTTTCTTCTTTTTTGTCAACTCGTAAAAGGCCTTCTTCCTTTCTAGGAAGAATTTCCTTTTATCGGTTGACGAATGCAGTACCAGACGTATCGAACCTCTGACGGTCCTGCCCACCTAATGGTAAGTGGATTCTGTGACCAATAGACATATACATTTATCCTCGATTAAGAATCAAAATGCAAATGCGCTGTCACCCCTGATGTATTTGTATCTTTACACTCACCATACGAAGCACAACAATATTAAGCCGCTATTTTGTATTTTATGCTGGTATTCTGTCAGTCGTCTGAGCATGGTCCTACCCCGGTCGAGCCGACCCATTCATACAACCATAATATAGCTGCAGCGTGGCTCTACCACGTACAAAAGATATTATTAGCCATAAGATGTCTTTGCTATTCCCGAGTCGTCGTGGTATCCAAGAGATGAAATGGCTTTATGGTTCCCTTTATGGTTATTGGTACTACACGAATTTAATAAACAATTTACATTTAATGTTGTCAGCAATGTTTTTCCGCCAGTTTCTGATTCCAAACAAAAATTCTAACTAAGCCCAACATACATCAGTACTATGGGTTCAGAAAAAAGGGCTCTACGGAATATTTAGTGTCTGGAGTTGAGTCACAGGTTTTCAGGAGAAATAAAACTTGTTAGCCTCAACTACTTAGAAAATTAATGGGTATTGCCATTATGCCATATTTTTTATAACTTAAAAAATTGTTTTACGCACAGACCTAGAATGTTACGCTACGCTAGTTTTACGATTTCTTGTTTATTACGTGTGCGTGACGCAATATTAAATTAATTTTCAATTTAATTTCATAAGTATGTACTAAAGTAAAACTGCATTATCAGTGTTTCGTACGACGTATAACTTGTTCTCGTAATATACTACATAATTTATGTAAAAATATCTTATCTATGGAGTTCATTCTTATTTATTTAATATTGTACTTTATATACAAATATGATACAAAATATTCTATTTCGGCAACTTAGCCTAATAGAGCTTCCTTTAAGTATATAATCTGATAATATTCTAGATATAATATTGTTTTATATAGTCTGCCAGGGTGGGCCTACCACGTATCCACTACATAAGGGTTGATTCCATAGATATACTAATTGGTTTAGATTGGTTTAGGTACCAAGAACAATTATAAGAAATCCATATACCTGGCTGTCTGGCTGTAAATACAGTACTTGCACGTTAAAATGCACACCTCTTTAATGAAACACTGTAATAATAATAAAATATAATTTACTAGTACATACTTATCAATGCCTAAACGAGCCTTTGCTTCATTTAATCTTTAAATCCAGTCTTTATAATGATTAGGATAATTTTAGTATGTTTAGGCAAACTGATCGAAGTTCTTACATAATAAATGCATTCCATGTTTGAATTTAAGTAAAAAGATTTTACTTTTTTAATTTAAATTGATTTGACAGATTATTCTGTGTTACAAAAACTATGTTTACAAACTCATTTCACGTAATTTTTTTTTAAATTCATTTAAATTACTCCGAAACGGTTCTCAAAATAAGCTAAGTTAGCTTAATTTAACGATAAAATGAGAGTAACAAAAGTGAGGCTGGTCAGGCAAACAGCGAGTGTCCACAACTGGTCCTTTTGCAGTAAAAACTGGGACCAACCTTGCGCCCGAACACCTTATTCCATCCTTGTCACGCACAAAGCCTGAGACCACATTAGCGATGTTGCGACTATACTATAACTCTGATTACATACTATTTCGAAGCCGTATTTCATATTTTTACGAATTTGATTTTCATTTCATGGATTAAAACTAAACACTCTTATAATTTATTTTAAGTGCCATTTCAAAGTAAGTTAAAATTAGTTACGTAGATAGATAACTCTTTATTTTGCACCAAAACAATACATGAACGACAGAAGGAAAAAATATGTGTGCAGTTCACACGCGGTAGAAATGAAACTATTAAATGAAATTAAAAATAAAATAAAAATATTTCACGGCAAATGCTTTATTTAATAATATAGTACGGTCGCTGAGTTATTACCGATTTGACAGATTATTCTTAAATTAATCGATATAACCTTGCACGAGCGACACATTTGCCGAATGATTTAGAATACCTCTTTAATATAAAACTTTATGTCAAAATGTCAGAATCAAGTAATTTTCCAATAAACTCTGTTTCAAAACTTAAAATAGTTTGTAAATAATATGAAAATATTTATTTTTTGTTCTTTGGCGCGCTTGTACAAAGTTGCATCGTGCGTCTAGTTTTCATAGTGATGTGCTTGATAGTATTCGGTCCGAATTCATTGGAATAGATATGATATTTATTTTATTTAGATATTTTTATTTTACTTATTCCTTCGAGCAACTAGACTATAATGCTACCATTTTTTTGCGTCTCCTAATTGCACTGTGTTGCCAGTATCTCATCTATGATTTTTAAGATTTATGTGTGATCCAAAGACAGAAATACTTTTTTCTATGATTTAAAAATAAATACAATTAAAATGATTATGTATAATTTTTAACATTCATAATATATAAAACAACATTTAATAAATATAATTTTCTCCCTCAATTAATCAATGTTATAGGTGTATTTTTTTAAGTAATTGGCGATACTATTCTGGCAACACCCTTTCCACCGCTATTTTAATCTGTTTAGTCGTCTTCCGTACTCTCGTGCGCACAGACTACGTTCTCTTGTGTAACCGTTGTTTTTTGACTCGGCTTTCTCCTGTTTATCGTTGCGCTTTATTGGACTAATTTTGTTTGTGTTTGGTAATTTTGTTGAAAATGCCGAAACGAGGAAAAACATTGAATAGTCAATATCGTGAGCTTATACTAAAGCTACAGGATTACTTTGAGCGTGAGTCACAAAATGGCGGCCCTTTGATTCCTGTCACTCAAGTGAAAGATCGGGTTTCACAAGCTCTTGGAATTGGTGCAAAAACACTATATAATATAAATAAAGAAAAATTTGGTGCTTCTGGAAGTGAAGATAATGTTTTACGCACTCCTAAGAAAAAACGAAGACAAAAGCCCGTGACAGGTGTTGATTTTTTTGATGCAGATGCAATAAGAAACCACATATATGGTTATTATACTAGGAACGAGTTTCCAACTAGACGTTTGCTTTTGGTCTCTTTAAAAGAAGATGGCTTGTTTAAAGGCGGTAAAACGGCGTTGTTAAAACTATTGCACGAAATTGGGTTTGAATATAAAAAAACGAATAAAAGGAAAATATTAATGGAAAGATTTGATTTAATAATTAAAAGGAGCGAGTTTTTAAGAGAAGCCAGAAAAATCGAGTCTTGGGACAACGTCGTTTTTGTTGACGAAACATGGTTAAATGCGAACCACACTGTGTCACGCTCCTGGACTGACGAAACAAAAGCATCAACCTCAAAGGTTTCAATTGGAAAAGGATCGCGACTGATAATTTGTCACGCCGGTTCTGCTGGAAGTGGTTTCTTTGAAAATGGACTGCTGGCTTTCACGTCAAAAAGTACTTCCGATTACCACGAGGAGATGGATACAGAAACTTTTACGAATTGGTTCGAAAATCA